TTTTTAATTTTCTCATGTTTTTGGATGATCGCTTCACATTCTGAACAACAAAAAAATGTATATAGGCGTATAAAAAAATGAAAGATAAATGTATTAAAAATGAGAGAATTATGCGTAAAAGAAAGAGGGGAGAAGTGAGAAGAAGGAACAGAAAAGGTGGAGGAAACATGGAGCGGTTGGGGGGAGTGAAAGGGGAAGGAAAGTGGAAAATCCTGGAATTATGTTTCCTCACGTGGTGCTTAGTTAAGTCACTCAGTCAATGGTCAACTCTCTGAATCATGGGCACGTGAACAACACTCTCTCCTACTTTGGACAACCTAATAATATTGTCTTTCTTTAATCAAGCACCAAATTAGCAACCCCAATGAACTCTCTCACCCCTTCTCTTCCATCTGTACTGTGCTCATTATACGCTTCGCCAAACACGCACATATGCATGGACTTTTAATCTCATCAACGTTTCAATAGTTTCAGATCCGTTCACATATATACACTACTTATCAATCCGAGAATACCTATATATATAATCACAATAGAAGAAGAAAAAAAGAAGCATGATCATGTATAATGATATTTTGGCATATAGCTTATGAGAACCTCTTTTTTGTTAATTACACTCAAAGCTAATCAATTTCAAGATTTTTAAAGAATACTAGTCAATTAATATTATTGAATTTGTTTGTGTGTGTGTGTAATATTGGACTTTCTAATTTTACCATTTTCCAAATTTGATGATCGCGTGCGCGCACACAATGTGTTTTGTGAATTATAACTTGATGCAATTAAGGACAAGTAATATTGAAAAAAATTAATTACTACTCTCTTTAAACTATAATATAGGAATGCTCATTGAAACATGTAATTTTACTTATAAATAAAAAATTGATAGTTTCTTTTATATTTAAAAATGGAGTATCATCTCTTTAATTATCCTATATTTATGATCAAAAAAACTTTAAAATTTTATCTTGTGATTAAATTTGGTGGGAGTATATACTTCTTAAAATGGTTTTATGAATTTGAAGACATGTTTTTATTCTATATCTAATGAACTTTTGAGATTCAACTTGCTTGGGCTTTTTTTTTTTTAAATACCAATTAAAAAAGTAACATCTGGGCATACATCTCCATGGTGGCTTCATGGTTATTTCGTAGTTAATGAGTAACATTAAAGCAAGGGGATGAGTTGGAAAAGATAAAGAAAAAGAAAAAGGTAAGAGATAGTAGAAATGTGGGAGATCTGGTCAGATAGTTTGGAGTAGGGTCAAACGACAGCGGCAGAGAGGGAGGTCGTTTTGTTTTGTTTGGCTGTTAGCGCGTGGCAACCAAAGTGGGCGGGACGGCTGGTCAATCTGCCACGTTTGACGTATACGCCACAACACCCAACTCCATTAATTGTCGTATCACTCACACACCCTTGTCGTTGTTCCAAAGCTGCCTTTGGGCAACCCACCTGAAGCTTCCCCCACTGTCTCTCCTTATTTTGACCGCTTCCCTTTTATACCCCTTTCTCACCCCACATTTCATTTCTTTTTATTTTTTGTTTTAACTATTATTTACTCGATGTGCAAACTATGATTTTTAACAACTTTGTCAATTGAAGTAGGATTTTATTACCATCTATTCCCTCTTTTTTATTATTTTTATCTTAATTTATAAGATACTTTTAAAAAAATTAATTGTTAAAAACAATATTTTATTAATACTTTTTTAAAATATTACCATTTACATATATTCTCTTTTTAATATTTTTATGAATAAAATATTAAATAAATGATACTTTTTAAAATTTATATTTTTACTTTAAAAATATAAAGTTATAAATATTGAGCTTTATTATTATGTATAATTTTATTTACAAATATCTAATACATTATGATGGGGGAGTATAATATAAGACATTAATGATTATTTTATTAATCTAAAATAGGTTGGTCGAAACCTATATGTTTTTTTTTTTTAAAAAAATATGTTTTCAATTTGGGGGGCAAAAAACAATTTGCAAACCATTTGCTCGTGACTCGTAGTAAGTAACTGCTGTGGTCAATGTCTCATTATAACGGTGGCTTAAAAGTCCTTCTCGCGACCATATTCTGATAATATTTATTGGGTTGGGGAAGGGGAGGGAAAGCAAGGGAGATGGCAAAAGCGAGCCGCCCTGTGGTTTTTAAAAAAGATATTTTTTTTATTTTAAATTATAAAATACTTTTATATAAAATTTTATATATCAATAAAATTTATTAAATAAATTTTATAATTTTATTTTAAAAATATAAATTTTTAAAAATATTTTTTATTTAATACTCGATTGATGAAAGAATATTAAAAAGAGAGAATATATATGAAGGGTAATATTAAAAAAGTATTATTAATAAAATTTTATTTTTATCAAAGTATTTTATATTTTAAAATATCAAATCTTATCTAAGATTGTCTTATAATTTAAAACAGAAGGAGTATTACATATATATGCATCTTGACCCAAGGATCTTAACATGTACTCCCTCCATTTTTATTTATAAAAAAAAAATTATATCACAAAATTTAATAAAATTGATTAACTGTATTAATTGTGTTTGAAAATAAAAGAATTGAACTATAACATTCTTTATTAATTGTGTAAATCAATTTTTCATTAATTTTTTCTTAGGACTATAAATGATAAAATTATAAGAGATAATTTAGGAAGTTTGTAATAAATATTTATTGAAAAATATAATTTTACTTATATAAAAAATAAGTTAAAAATAATAATTTCTCTTATAAATAAAAATAGAGGGAATATAATATTACGATTTAGTTAAGTATGATACTCCCTTCCCAAATTACAATATAACTTTTGAGATATTTTGTTGTCCCCAGTGTATAAAGCAATTTTAAAAAAATTAATATTTTATTAATGATATTTTTTTAATATTATCCTTTTAGTGAAGAGGGAATTGAAATAATATTGTAATGTAATGATTTAATATATAGGGATATTTTTAAAAATTTATAGCTTTATTTTAAAAATAATAAATTTGTAAAGTGCCATTATTGAGCTTTGTTAGAATGTAATCTTGTCTCAAATTATTTTATGATTTGAGATGGAGGAAGTATTATTTATTGGTTTAGCAAGTACTCCTTCTAATTATATTTATAAATCACTTCTGACATATTTTACTATAATTAAAGAAAATCTTAAACTTTATTAATTTTATTTTAAAATTTAATAAATTTTTACCTTTACTCTCCATTAAGAATGAAAATTTATTTTTAAAAATTTATCTTGACAATATTTAACAAGAACAGCGATAAAAAATAAACCTAGAAAATAATAAAATGCTTTATAAATAAGATTAAAATTAATTTTTTTCTCTATTCTAAACATAAAAGAGTAAATATGACGTAGCATCTTAATCCAAAATTTTAAAATATTGAATTTACAATTCTTTTTTTATTCATATACATTTTTAAATTTAAATAATATCATGTATTTTTCTCTGTTAAAAAATATAAAACGTTTTTAATTGAATTTCACTCCCTGATAAAGTAGTTACCTATTTTCAAACTAACTCTATCTTTTTATATTTACTCTTATTAAATACTTTATAATAAATATAAAATTATTTATTAATAGATACATTTTAAAAAATAATAATAATTACACATCAAAAGATTAATTTTTTTATATTTTTAAATATTTAATTTTTTAAAAAATATTTTATATTTTTAAATGAAGGGAGTAAATCTTTTTGCATGAGGGTTGGTTGCTTGTTGTAGGAGTCTAAGCAATGGAATATTGACAACAAATCATTGAACAATTTAATCAAAATATATATGTTAAACCATTGTTTACGCCAGTAGTTTCGAGGCTGGGATTTATAAAAATATTCTTATAATCATAGCATGAAGTCCAGATATGTCTCCGACCATTTACAAATTAATTCTTCATTTGCACCAATAGCTCAAGCAAACTAAATTCAAGTAACAGTTGAAAAATTCTTGCTTATAATAAAAAAACAAAACAACGTGTAAATTGTTAAACAAATGTTATTAATATAAAATATGTGTGTAATCTAATTAGCCTTTTGGTAAAAAAAAAAAAAATCTAATTAACCTCATGGTACGTGATATTTATCAGATTACCAGGGGCCCTTAAGAGGTCACTTGTCCCTTCTTGTGTAACGCTGATATTATTTTGATAAAATCCTGTGTAACGTTATTATAGTATTGATTTCTATAAGATTGATATTGATGTCTCATGCATAGCCTCTCTTAGCTAAGAAGGTCATACTGCAATAATGGAATGACATCTTGGAAGAGATTCAAAAATAAATAAACAAATAAATAAATAAAGGGAACATGGGCCGCACAGGTGAGAAACGTAAAGCCCAAATGTTGAGGGCCTTGAGGTCCGTTCAGTTCTGTGTATCATATCATCACCAGACGGAAGGACGCTTCAGGCCCAATCTATTCTCTCTTCCTTCTTTCACTCATTGGGTCCTGGAGAAAACTACACGTGCACTTCCCAGCTTAAATTTCGCATAGACCACCTCAGAATCAAGAGAGTAAATTTAAAATATTTTTTAGTGAAAAATGATCAAGATTGTCTCTCTCTATATATAAAAATATGAATAGAGAGTGTTTTAGTCATTTCTTAATAAAAAATTTGTTTAATGTGACTATTTGAATGAGATTTTACTATTATCAAATCGACTGAGAGAGGCTTTTCTAGAAGCATTTTTTACATTTGCATTGAGTTAAATTCAAGATCTCGTATTCATGCAATTATAGCCTCGCCTTTTCTATTAAGATCGGCACAGGCCTGTCATGCCATGACAATGCATTGTAGTTTCAGAATTCATTGATCCTGATCTAAATTGTCAATGTTTTTGCCAACATTAAATTATTTAGTTAGATTAATCTTTTACTAAAATCTTAAAAAATAAATAAAAATTATACTTCTCACAAAGGGCCCAAGAGAAGCCATCTGAGCCCGCTTACACGGTGTCCCATTCCGGATCCAATTCACGAATCAGTTAATCACAGAATCACCCCGAGTGACGCCGAGAAATTCCGAGGTAAAACGAGTCTATGATGGAAGTGAAGGTCGACGAGAATGACCTGAAAGCTGCTGGCGCCGAGCTCCTAGCCGGGGACGGTCGACGTGGTATTCGCATCCACGGTTGGGAGATTGAGACTTGTAAACGCTCTATACTCAAGTCCTCCACTGCTCAAGAGTACGCGCTTTCTTAACTTTAACCCTAGTTCATGTGATTCCCAATTTCAGGCGCTATTCCTGTTGCACTTGTGACTAAATCGTTGCATTCTGTTTTCTGTTTGCTTTGTCGGAATTGCTTTTGTTGTTTCTGGAGGCTTATTTGCTTTTCAATATAATATTTTAGTTTAACTAGAAATTGCTGGTTTCTCTGAGAGAGGGAGAGAGACCCGGGGAGTGGGAGTTCAAGGGTAAAGATTTTTTACTATGTACAATGATGTTTTGCACTATTAGCATAGAACCAATCATGTTCTTATCTTGAACTTGCTATAACTTTCCCGCTAACTTCAAGTTTCAATATTCCCATCTGTCAAAGCCCCTCATTATCTTGATCTTTGTTCCTATAGTTTTTAATGCATTGATTTGATTCATTGTGCAGATGGGAACAGAAACTTCAGACATCTCACTTACCAGAAATGGTTTTTGGGGAAAATTCTTTGATTCTAAAACACATGAAGAGTGGCACTAAACTTTATTTTAATGCATTCGATGCTCTGTATGGTTGGAAACAGGAAGCTTTGCCCCCAGTGGAAGTGCCAGCAGCCGCAAAGTGGAAGTTTAGAAGGTAAGATGGGTTATTTTGACAAAATTATGAACTTTTGTTTTTTAATTTTTCTCGAATTTTCAAATATGTCCGCTGCTATGTCCTTGTATTGTTGAATTCTATGATCTTGTTTACTTTGGTTTCTCTCTTTCTTTGAGAGAATACATTATTTTGTATGAAAATGCCTATTAATCGGTTGATGCATTTTCACTGCGTGAGGAATATAATATGAATGAAAAGTTCGTTTCCATTAAGAAGGTATCAATTTGTCTTTGTTTGCCAGCAAAGAGTTCTTGCTGTTTTTCTCACGTACTTTAGGGAAAAATTGCAGCAAACCTTCTCAGCAAGTAATACTAGATTATGACTATACGTTTACAACGCCTTATTTTGGAAGTGGAACTATTGAGATCGATAAAGATAAGGTACGTGCTCCCTCCTTTGTCTCCAGGGACCTGACGCTGCTGTTAGAAGAAGTACCAAAAATAGTTGACATTTGTGTTAATGATTGTAAACCTTTTGAGTCATAATGGTAGGATGCAAGTGCTACTGAGGAACAATGCAATCTCAAATGGGAAGACTGCGAGGAGAAAATTGATATTGTTGCATTGGCATCCAAAGAACCTATACTATTTTATGATGAGGTGGGTACTTGTTAATTTAAATGACAGCTGTGCAGTGTTCACAAATCTGTTCTATACACAAATTATTTTGTGGACAAAGTGATTTCTTCTTTAAAGTATTTAGGAAATTATGCTTCACTGGTAGAATGAAAAGCACTTAATTTAGGAAAATCTCCATTACCCTCGTTCTGTTATGATCCATTTCTAAGAAGATTGATTAAGGGAGCAGGAAGAGATTAGGAAAAATATTATTATTAATTATTTTTAAATTAGGAATTTAAAATAAATATTGGAAATGGTATTTTTAACTATGATTATAAATTAATAGTTTAATTTACTTACATTTCATATAATCTATGCTTTCATTTTAAAGTTATTAAGGCTCTATACAAAGCCCTCACCTATTGAATGAAGGCACTTGGGGATTTAAGTAGAAAGTATTGTAACTTTAAAGGAAGAATGCATTTGGTTACGAAGTCTGACATGTTAATGCCATTCTAGAATCTATGTAAACGAATTCATTCTTACATTTCTCATCTTCTCTGATGGCATTTGCTTCCTGTCACAAATTGATCCTCTTTATGAACAGGTGATCTTATATGAGGATGAGCTAGCTGATAACGGAGCATCTCTTCTTACTGTAAAAGTGGTAATTATTCATCTATTTTCTTCTGTTTGGATACATGGCTCTTTCATAACATTGGCAATGACTGATGGTGTGACCTGTTGGTTTGTATAGAGAGTCATGCCTAGTTCTTGGTTTCTTCTCTTGCGATTCTGGGTGAGCTACTCCCTCTTCATACAACATGATATTGTTGACCACATGCTTAGCTGCTTTTTTTCTCAAAGAAGCGATTAGCTGAAATTGATCCACTATTCACAAGGCACTTGGTGAATTAATTAGTGATTTACTTCTTATTCTAGTTTTTTGAAAATTGTGATTCTGTTGTTGATTTGTTAATCTTAACAGCTTAGAGTTGATGGAGTGTTGATTAGACTGAGAGACACTCGTATGCATTGTATTTTTGGTGGCGCTGAAAATCCTGTTATTCTTCGAGAAACTTGCTGGAGAGAGTCTACGTTTGAAGCATTGTCTGTGGTAAGTTTCTGCCACGCATTTACATTTATTTACTGAGTCAATTCACAGCAAGGGTTCAACCGTAATGCCTATGTTTAAAGATCGTTTTGAAAGTCAAAGCTGCTGGCATTAAATATTATTATTCTTTAGGTGTATAAGATTGCAGGTGCAGTGCTATCGCAATTTCTGGTTGAATCTACATTCAATTTTATATCAATGTTTTGAATAACACTTTTCAATTTTAATTAATTGGAATGGTTAAGATTCTTCATTAAGCGGCTAATATTGAAGTTTGCTTGTTTCCTGTTTTGGAAAATGAAGAACGAAAATTGTTTTTTCAAATTGTGATTGAATAAGGTGCATGTATACGTAATTCAATGTTGAATTTCTGTCTAAGTGCACTTATCTATGATTAATTGGTACAGAAAGGACAAACTATTGATTCTGCTGCCTACAGTGATCCTAGCATAATCTGCCTAAAGCTCCCCGTCATCATGCATAAGACCCAAAAGCTAACTGTTTCCGCTTAACCTGTAAGTCTGTAAATTCGCATTATGTAAAAAGGATTGAGTATTATTTTTATTCCTGTCTTGTTCGTATTACAGTTTACCTCCCAGGAGAAAAATGACAGGGAGGGGGGGATCATTTCCGGCTCTAAATTTTTGTGAGGAACAGGTTTCTGTTTTACAAAGTCTCTTGAATCCATCAAGATGTGAGTGCCAGATGCGGGTGATGATATGGCGTGGACTCTTGGCCATGGGCATACCAGCAGGCACGTCTAAGGAAATAGTAGATAGCCTGCTAATCTTTGAAGCTTTTCCGATACTTGTAATTTTAAAGTTACTGTGAGGTCTTCATGTTTACAAGTGTTTTTATTTGGAGCAAGGTACTGGAACTGAAAATGATGGCAATAAGTAAACATTAATTGTTTTGTACCGTTCAAAGCGGAAAATTATAGAGAGTACAGGTTGGAGCGAGCGGGTCTAAACTCCTTGTTATCTGTTCAGCATGATTTTTCAAGAGCCCATTTTGTTTGAAACTGAAAAGCTTCATGTGTAATTGTTTGTAAATTTACGTCATCTTATAAAATGTATCATTATCTATAGTCTATAGACAGTAAATAGCCCAATTATTTCGTTATTTCCTTGAGAAGCTTGACCAATGGATATTGGAGATCACGTAAATGTATCAAATTGGGTATAGAATAGTGTCGAGTGATCCCCCCCCCCCCCAAAAAAAAATCTATCTTTGGGAAACTCATCGTACGGAGTTTAGTATTCTTTCCTGGTTTATAGCTCAGGTGAAGTGACTTTCAAGATCACGCTTCACGCCTAGGAATTTTCTGGTGGGTAATTTTTTTTTTTAATTTGGCTAAATAATTATTTTATCAACGACACTGATATTTTTATTGAAGCATAGAATAGAATCAAGAAAATCGAGATAGCATGGCTTGAAAGCAAACCAGACTTCCTATGTGTGCAGAACAGCAATAATTATTTGTAGCATCAAAGAACTAAAAACGCCTAGTTTAGGTTTTGCTGGTGCTATGACCAAGATAAATACCTTGGAATAAAAAAGGCCCGAAGTAAACGTCTGAAACCCTAATTCTTGTAGCATGAATATGCAGCAGAAGCATCATCCAAGACGTTTGCTCTTCAAGTTCATGGATCTCCTACCTCTGGGTCGTGCATTCTTAAAACCAATGAGCAAACTCTTGAGTCTCTCAGAGTCGGAGGTCTAGATCCAGCTTGATTGATGACTCTTTCTCTTTAGGTGGGTCGGCTTCTTGTTGTGGATCCAATCGAAAGCTTCCAGGCCAAACCAAATCCACTTGATTCTCATCAGTCATGAAATAATTCTCCAGTCCCATTCCAACCCCTCCATAATAACAAGCCTCATGAAAGCTTGGTGTTGCTATTCTCGTTCCTCCTCCTCTGTAAGGCTTGTGTACCAGTGAATGAGGCTGAACTCCAAGTGATCGAATCATGGGACTGTTCATGGACAAACCCATCGTCGTCGTCATCTTGTGAGTCTGATTATATCTTCTGGCAGCTCCTCTTTCCCTTTTGTGTGCGTTCTGGTGCCCCCCCAAGGCTTGTGAGCTGTAGAACTTCCTCATGCAGAAATTGCACGAGAAGATTTTGGCATTTGATGGTGATCTTGATCGTGGTTCTGAGTATTCTGGTGCTGCTGAGAGTTGAGTTCCTCCTAAACTCAGGTTCAACCACTCTTCTGGTTCTGGATTCTCACCTTCACTTGCTTCAATATAGTTCTCTTCTCTGTTCATTACTTCAATTTCTAGTTCTAGTTCCTTGTTGCCTGTTACATCACCATCATCATGCTCTTCCAGGATGATCATTACTTGAGATGGGAGTGAGGTTGGATTGAATAGAGAGATTGAATGGCCTGTAGGAATCTAGCTCATCAGATTGGATGCATAGAAAGCATAGTGGAGGAGTGGTGTGATGGTCGGAGTAGATTTTATTTCCTTGTATGCGTGGATTGTTTATATTTGATGTCTATCTAAATCAGTGAGAGAGACCCCACCTGCAGTTGCTTGGTGCTTGAGAGAACAATGCTTATGTCATCTTCACAGTTGCTCTCATCAAACTTAGGATTCCCCACTTTCATATTTCTGCTCTCTTTCCTCTTCTCTCCTTGCAAAGCTCCAACCTTTGTTTAACTACTTTAGGAGTGACTATAGGAATATTGCAAGGTTTCACTCCTGTGTGGTACGTCTTGCATAGCTATTATGCAAGGAAGTTTTTTTTTTTTTTTTTTTTTTTTTGAGTTAGAGGGAGAATGAACCCCTCCTGTGGGGGATTGAACCCATCACCTCTCTTGTGAAAGAGGATTACTTTGCCATTAGGACAATATATCAAGTGTAATGAAGATTTATTCCTTTGCTAAGTTAAGCATATTACGTTACCTGTGATTTTGATTTTAATCTTCTTTTTTTAGCTCAAAAGAATTAAAAATATATATATGCAGCATCTACATGTGATGGAGTTCTCCTCAATCATATGGAACTGGCAAGAAATTATCTAAAGAATTTTCTTGTACCCTAATTTCCTTAGTTTGTGTTTGGAGATCACATATTGGACAACTTTGTCCAAAGTAGATTGATTTAATTGGACACAAGTTGTTTTCAAAGATTATTGTTACGATTTCTATAGACAATGAATACAATATAAATTTTTGCCAAGAGCCTCTTAATTCAATGATACGCTACATTCCTTTGATTAAAAAGGGAAGGTTAGGAGTTCTATATCTCATATGGTGAATAATGAATGTGCGAGTGTGGTGATTATGTGTCACCATTTCCTATCATCATATGGAGGAAGGATCGCTTTTCTTTTCTTTTTTCTTTTTGGTGAAGAGGAAGGATCACTTCTATATACGAGAAAATGTGTAGATATATAGATGTGTCGTGTGAGTATTTGTATTTGATTTTTTTTTTTTAAAATACAAAGTAAGCCAACTCCACATTCTGTTGAATTGGCTAAATAAGCTCTTAGGACCTAAAGACAAGCACGGGCCAAATCAATTACATGTTTCCCCCTCTTTTATTCACGCTTTTTAAAATTTTATTACTTAAAATACTCTCTGAAAGAGTAAATTTTTTTTAATAAGAAATCATAAGTTTCAAAGAGAATAAAATTACTGTGACGTTATGTTGGGTTAGCATAAATGTGAGGTAAAAAAAAAAAAGGAGAAAAGGAGATAGCGTACGGCACTACAAATGCTACATCTGGTGTGAATGAATTTTATTCTTTTATTCTTTTTTTTATAACTATGAAAAAAAAAATTCTAAGCAGTAGAAGCATCTTGTTGAAACAAACTAACTAAATCAAGAGGGTGGGAAAAAAAAAAGGATGAAAACCAATGACACAAGATAAAGTCTATTTGGCAAGCATGTTAGCAGCTTCATTTGCATAATGCAAGATATTCTGAACCACTACACTCCAATCACAAGCCAATAAAGCTTGAACTTCATATAACATCTATATTTGGATGATGAGGGGGCCCTCTATCATTATGTAAGTCCATAGTTTCTAAGCTATCAAATTTAAGAATTAGCTGATGGTATCTAAATTTCTAGGCCAGTTTTAAACACTATAAGCAAGCCCAAAGTTTAGCAATCAACAAGTCACTACCATTCATGTTAAATATGAAGCCAGCTTTGAACTCACCACTCAAGTTTTGACATAGACCCCCACAGTTGATAATATTCAGGAACTTAAGGTCGGCACTGTCCACACTAAGCTTTAACCAGTCATCGGTTGGTGGTATCCAAGTGCCACTATATATAGGAGCCTCCTTTTGCCTCCACATAGTACCTTTCAGTTTGCTATAACAATCATTGAAAATATTAATAATAGCAAGGTTTGAGCATCAATGGTTATGGTAGAGGTATTTTTGTCTTCAAATAACTTCTCATTCCGCCTTTTTCAAATGAGCCAACAAGCAATTGAGAAGAACACCAAGGGACATCATCTTTCTTCCTTGAGGACTGCACATTCTATTTGCTCCACTCTTGAATGTTCACCTCAGAAAGATCTTCTATGTTCATGTGAAGGTGATCCATCCACAAGCTTTTTGTTTTAGGGAAGTCATGAAGCATGTGGATAGTGTCCCCAACAGTGTCCTTGCAAATCCCACACCAATCATCATCATGCATTCCTCGCCTCTTGCGACTAGCATTAGTTAGAAGTTTGTTATGATAAGAAAGCCACAAGAAAGACTTACTTCATTCAAGAACTCTCAGCTAAGTACCACCGTACATAAAGGAATAAAGGCTAAAAAATTTGATATGCCCTTACAGTTGCAACTATTGATATTCCCATATTCTAAAGTGGAGGATATTTTGGTTATTTTAATTATTTCTATTCCCATTCCTTTCTTATTTCCATCATACCAAACATCACGTTGAAAAAATATATATTTTTTCTCTTTTTCATACATACCAAACGTGACTTTTTTAATTACCATTCCTATTTCCTTATATCCATGCCCGTTTGCCAAATTCAAGTTCATGTCTTGGATCATCACTTTTACTATGGCAGATGATTGTTTGCATACTGTGAAATAAACGCGTACGAATCTATGAGATCTACTTTCCTTTCTGAGTGGATACGATAGGCCTAAAGATGGAGAATTCATGAGTGAGGCTCCATCTTGGGGATTGGTAGGTTGAGTGAATGATTTGGGTAATTATTTGTCAACTTTTTGATTCGAAAACTGTTTGTGAAAGTTGCATCGTCTGGCTTCTGGGCCTTTCCTTTCCTTCCAATAAAAGGTGCTCTTGTAAAGTTAGGCACCTGCAGTTGCACATGTCTGCAAAATCACACAGTGCTTTGCTCAAGCTTGAGTGGAGTCATGAGTCGCTCTGAAACCATTCATTCACACAGTAAGTTGCATGATCTGCCTCTGCAAAATTTGTGTGGTGAAGTGCCTCATAGGCTTCTAAGATGTGAACACAATTGAGTTGTGAGTTGTGGTGTGACTCATTGCTTTGGCTTTTCATTGCCTTTGTGAATGGGACCCTGATTAGATTTTTGCCAATAATGGTGATGCAAAGTAGTAAATGATGGAGAGCGTTTTGTTTTTGTTGCCATTTTTTTTTTAAATGAGGGTTTTCTGTCCAGACAGTAAGTATCCACGTCGTTGTCGTCTTCCTGGGGCTTCTTGAACTTCTATTCAAACTTGTAAGGCTCATTTTATTATCTCTCATTCTCTTGAACAATAATTACAAAAAAAAAATTAAATTTAAACAAATAAAATTATTCTTTATATTCATTTTATTCTTTTATATCTCTCGCATTACATACATTCAATTTATGATTATAGATATTTTGAATAATTAAATTCTCTAAAATTACATGTGGAATGAAACTCTTGTGTGTATTTAATATAATTTTAACAGTTATAAAGTCCACTATATTTCCTCGGCATGAGAAGTGATTCAAATTTGAATAATTTTGTGATTTATCGCTTTTCTCCTTCATTTGATTATTTGTATAAATATAAAATTAATTATTTTAATTGTTAACTATTTTGAATTAAAATACAAAAGCGAACTCCAAATGCAAACGGAAAAGTGAAAGACAGTAGGACAATGGCATGTTATTGTACCGTGTCGATTTCGATTGCATTAGTTGCAATCTAATCACGCAAGTTAGGCCAATAACATGTGATGCATAACTGAGGTTTAAGTGGCCTTCGATTTTCTTTTATTAATTTAGGAAGGACCCTCATTCCAATGGAATAATTATTATAAAGAAAATAAAAAAAATGACAATAATTTTTTTTTAAAATATATAAATAATAATTTAACTTCTCAAAATGCCATAAATCCTTTAAAATTTTTAGAGACTTTTTTATCATTAATGAATTTATATAAATTATTAAATTGTCTTTATAAAAAATAAATAATTCACAATTTTTTTCTTATATTCACAACCTTTCTTTTTATATTCATAACAATATAATAATAAATAAAAAATTTAATATACCAATATAAAAAAAATTGCGAATCATTTATTTTTAATAAAAACAATTTAATAATTTATATAAATTCAGTAAATATAGAAAAATCTTTAAAAATTTTAAAAAAATTATAATATTTTAAAAGATTAAATTATCATTTATATGTTTAAGAAGAATTTTATTATTTTTTTTTAAAAATAAGTTCGTGCTTTCTAGAATTTAAAAATAATAAAAGAACATTTCGCATTTTGAAGGACCGCTGAGGCCTGCCACATCTAAAGTTTGTTCCGTTACGCCTAACTTTGAGTGGCACGTCTCAGAACTCAAACCACTGAATTAGGTTATATTTTCTTCGTGGTCAGCAAAATATGCTCATTCACGGAGACTTAAAAAATAAAATGCTTAAACTTGTATCCTTGATGTACTTAAACCTAAAATCTAGTTTATTTATAATGCAATAAACAACGCAATTTGCAGTGTTTGATCTTCTACGACAACGCATTCAACCCACACAATGCAGTCTAATTTATGTTAAATAGGTTTCACCAAATTAAAAAAAAAAATATCACGCGTTATGGTCTTTTTGTTGTAATTTTCTTTCATGCTACTGCCTGCCACTTTAATTCCAAAAAAAAAAAAAATGGAGCTAACACCAGTCTCTAAATTCTTTCGATTGTCATTTCATGCTTGTGACGTTTCTTGCCCATCCAAGTCCCCAGAGAGCGAGCGAAAAGGAAATGAATTTATTTTCAAACAGTAAAATGAAGCCAAAAAAAAAAAAGGCAGTCCAAAATCAGATAAAAATATAATGCACAAATTAATATGCTTGAAAACTATCGAAATTTGGAGGGAAATCAGCCTCCCCCAAGCCAGTAATGGCGTAACAGATGAGTGCTTTGACACAGATTTCTTTGATACCACCCTCTTTAACGACCCTTGATCTGCTTGAATGCAGCTATGTCGATCTAACAGCTCTTTCAGGTAACTGCAGAAACAAAGCAAAAATTGTGGATGAAGTGAACAAGACGGGTCAATTAAGAGGCATCAGAATGTTAGGAAAGCCGTTACAGCAAGCATCAGATTCAGATCATCTGTCTTACGCATCATAAACGAAAATTTTCACAAATGATGATACTTTTTGCTCACGCACGGCATTTCTCACAGGGAAACACTGAAACCACTGTGATCAGGAATTTTTTGAATAACATTGTCAAGAACAAAACAATCACATCCCACAAGCACTTTAACTGGGAAGGAACGCATTGATTCAACAAGGAAGAAAGCTTCTTTTCTTTGATATAAGAGTTGGCATCTAGATTAATTGAGCGAGAATATTTATTACTTTTTTTTTTTTTAAGGACAGAAGTTTTTGACAACCGTTCCCTAGCTGCATGAAGCTTTCAAATTCTACTTCTTAGTAAGAATTTCATGCATACAGGTGGCAAAAAGGTTCACGTGTTTCAGAGCTTCTGTTTGAAGCTGGATCAAGGGGGCCATTTAAAAGAGTTTAACCATAAGAATCTGAGGGGATTTAGAACTTCACCTCAGGAATCAGGATCACCTGTGAAAGGAATTGAGTTAACCCATTATTAGTATAAGTAGAATTGAAGGGATTCACACAGCCAATTTCAAGGACGACTCTTGCAAGCATTTCATTTTTGTCAAAGTAGCAAATTTATTCATGAAATAAATTGGCAATAAATTCCTCATCTAAAGTAAAACCCCGTCGAGAAAACAAGAACCTCTAGACCTTTTTATTCATGGCAAGGAGCCTCCAGATTTTATATTGAGAAGCAAACTAATTTTCCGATTCTAATAATCCAAAATTGTTAAGGAATATACAAAATTATGAGCGATATACAGATGAATGACCAAAAAAAGGAAAAGCAAATGTTTAAGCCTGGCTAGACACCATTCAGTTTGGAGACTAATCAAATTAGTTGTTCCTATAATAAGTGTTTGAAAGTTTTTTCTCATGTTTTGCATGGAGTCTAAGATGAGCTGCACTGCACATAGCTTGTAAATAATGTCCTCCTATAGATTTTATAGCCATGTCCTAGCGCATCACCCATAATTTTCATAGATGCCAGCAGATCCAAAAACTTGGAAACTTCGGTCCAACTTACTGGTCACCGTGAGCAATACAGCACTTATTAATCCTGAACAATATTTTAGGTTTACAAATTAAGGCTCTGGTGCCTTATGGGTCATGACTTGTGAGACAACGATAATTATATTCCAAGAGAGTTTTTGGGGGGGCAAAAAAAAACTGACAACGAGCCACAATGCGTTTTCATTTCTTGTGTCCTTAGTTAAAACAGCAAGACTCACAAAGAGAGACTACTAGCGATCTTGACAAGAACGACGGAAGGTACCATTGGACAACTCGCAACAAGCACGAGCACTGACAGTAAAGTGTGATGAGAGACATGTTGTAGCCATCGAACCATGTAGCAGGAAAAGAGATTGTGTGCATCCTAATTCCCCCAAGTTCCTACGCAGAAAACAACGCATATTAGCACACAAGTACAAAACCTGAAGTCAAAAAATAGAAAAGCTAGGAAGAAACACTAATCAATTCCAGATGATATAAAAATATAAGAGAAGAATTTTTATTGGCCAAAAAGAGAATACAGGAGAAAAATTGAGTAGAGCATTTTGTAGTTGGCCTAATTGTTACTTATAGTCCCTCCAGTTTACTCGTAAAGCAATTCAATCCTTTACTTTCAGGTTTAGAAATGGTGTCCTTAAAAAATGTTTATTGGATGTAGAAACATCCAAGGCTTCAAATCTCAAAATAGTGGATCAGAGCAAAGTCCCGGCCTACCAATCTAAAATCGACCATAATTATGCCTAATTACGTCTACGCTTGAAGCATTTCGAAACTATACGATTAGTGGGAGGCCATGGAATCGAAACTTCAGAATGAGCAAAAAGATGGCACCTGGAAGCGGATAAGGAAAACCGGCGGGCTTGAAGGCGAGGGGCGGTGAGGGTCGGCGGACGAAGGCGGGGAAGAGGCGATGGAGCGGGGCGAAGCGAAGCTCTAGCTGTAGACATCAATGAGCGAGAAAGAGATCCAGAACGCCACGCCATTTGTGCCTGAGGTGATCGTCTGAGCTACGCAGAAACAAGTGAAAACCACAGTGGCAGGAAGCCAATAAGGGCTTTGCTAGGGTTTAGACTGGCGTTGGCGGGGGCCTAACTGACTGGTGATATTATTATTATTATTTTTGGGCCAAGGAGACTAACTGATTTAAGTACATAATTTTAAATCAAAATTTGAATACATAATGAAATTAAGACAATGAGAAAATTAATCATTTCCTACTTAGTAATCTTTCCTTAAATTTCAAATATTTTGCTCAATGCAACTCACCTTAACGGAAACTCAATTCTTAACCTCAGTGCACTCATTCATGTAATTTTAACTAATTAAAACATTAATCTGTAAGCTACCAGAATAAATTTAATTCTTCTAATTTTATTTTTTAAAATATAAGAACCAACATCTTACATTTGTTAAACATATAAGAATTAAGTGAAATCAAAATTTAAGAACTAAGTTATAATTAAATAAAAATCATAGAGAATTTGAAGCTAAATTGCACCAAGTTAAAATTCAATAAATTAATTTTTACTTGAATCAAAATTATAATTGCCAAATGATTAACTTTTTCAAATTCAAAATTTACATAATTAATTGAAATATTAGAATTTAAGTCAGATTGAATATTGATTATATAATAAATTGGTAGCAATTAAATTTTAAAAATTCTTGATTAATATTAAATTGATTGACTAAACTAATCATCTAAAGAGAATTTGAGGATGCATCCATCAATAGATACTTCTTTAGACTTTAAGTTGGAGGAGAGTTCATTTGCTAGGCATTACGTAATAGGCTCAAGTATTACTTGGCTAGTAGTTCATCAAGCTTGAAGTTCGTCTCTGATTCAGCTGGTTGCTTCTCTGTACAATGTTTAGCAAGTTAAAACGTATTTCTAGAAAAAAAATAAAAAAATGCACTTATTTCTCATTTCCATTTTATAGAACAATTTTTCGTATACTAAACATACAAACAACAGAAAAAACTGGCTCACGTAGCCACGATAGTTGTAAGAGTGAAGATCCTCATACACAGTTAGAATATGAGGCAAAAATTAACAGTGTGATAGTGATGCTACATGGACAGCGTAAGGAGTAATAGTCTAACCTTTCAAAATTATGAGGATCAACAAAGAAATCCACAAAGAATGATACTAGTAAAATGAAGTATAATAAATTTTTCCCGTCCTAATCTCCTAGAATAATCTCTCAAACATAGACTATCACCCCTTGAAGCTCCCAAGTCAACAGAACATTCATAATGCAATGATACCAGAGTAATAATAGTACGAAGGAAGCAATTTAATTGATCTTCCATCATTCCTTACCTAAATGACTGATGGTGAATAATGGGAAGGCAGCAAAAAGATGGTAAGTTTTAGATGACCATCAACATCAAATCCCATGATAAGGTATGTAAATGAAAACAATCCTCCTTCGTAGATTTATTACGAGGGCCGAGGGAAAAAAATTGCACTTCCAAGAATCATATCCATATCTATGAGATTATGAGCACAAGAATCAAGGATTCACTTCAGCTATTGAATATGTCCTCACACACTTGAGCTTGTTATTGAAAGAGTAAACCCTGCCTGCTAATAAACTTGCCAAGACTCTTGTTCCTCTATAATGTAGCCTCACTTGGGAATTATGGTTTTCTGACCAAAGGCCAACTTCATGCAAATTTCCTTCTTCCCAGCAGATGTTGACCGTCACTCCACCTCGTGCTTTCAATCCTTTTACACAACCAGTCGCCCATTTATCCCTGGGCAAAGCAGGAAGCAAGTACAGGTCCTTCACTGTGCTCTGTACAAGCATTTCCGCAATTGCTGCTGAAAACCTGTCCCCCAAAAAAAATCCAGCCAAAAAAAAAATAAAATTATGCAGAATTTATGAGTTTGCTGCTGCAGATTACAGATACCCTGAAATAGCACTCCAGCTGAAATGAGGAGAGAGGCAATATGAACCAACGAACTGAACCACGTTTTGGAGCACAAGAACCAGAGTAGAGTGCAATTAATGTACGTGGACATGGTAATCACCGAAATGTTCATATCAATAACATGTTCTAGCATGACTGCAGTCTACAAGTGCTACATAAATTCACATATAGAAGTGTTCTCAAGCTTTGCACGAAAACCTCCTTGAGCAATCTTTTAAGAATGCGCTCTCTGACACTTTCATATTGCCCTAGTAAATTCAGAATTACGCTTCTGAAGTTCTAATCCAGTTTGATAAGTAAAGAATGTATTCCCTATTAACTGAGTTAACCCTTCAGGGTGACCAGGCATAAATTTATGGTGTAGGGTCCCTATTGCCCAGAACAATTTGCAACAACTTGCTGTAAATAATTAAACAATCATAACCTTTAATATGGAAGAACTGAAAATTGAACCAATAAAAAAAAAGGTTAGAGTGGTTCACTTTTAAAAGCTTACCCAAAGTTGGCATCAATCTGAAAAGGAGGATGTGCAGTAAACAGATTGCTGTAAAGTCCTCCTTCATAATTAGCTTCATGATCAGGGTCCACTAAGTCAATCAAATGTTTTACCATGCGATACGCATGCTCACTGTTATGTAGACGTGCCCACAGTGCAGCTTTCCAAGTAGTGGACCACCCTGGACCTTCTTCTCCTGTAGCGTTATGCAAGAACATCAACCACTGCAGCGTTTCTCTAGATAGTAGAGAAAACAAATATACAACTTCACATGTATACACAGTTGAGCATATATATAGTGGTTTTTAATTAGACTACGCATATTTTGACTGGTGAACCATTCAAATAGTCTTATAGATGAACAAAATAGAGACCTTAGTGGCAGATGATCTCAAACCCATTGCATTGAATACCCTGTCTAACATGACTTTGAATTCACATGTTCCAACTCTCTCAAAGTACATTTTATCAACCTAATAGTTAAAATATTAAAATAACTCATTGCACGAAATAAATTAGCTTCTAAAGTTCTCATAGCAAACCTCGTTTATACAGACTATAATCCACAGCTTTACAGAGGTCTGGATTTTTCTCAAGAGTTATTGTGTGCCCTGGAAACAGGCCAAAGAGGTGTGAAACATGTCGATGATGTACATCTGGGTCTTGAAAATCTTCTGCCTGCCATATACACAAAACAGTGTATAACTTAAATGCAATTACTAGCCTATACATTAGAACTAGATACGACAAATAAAAAAAATGCCAAAATTGGCCAACTGGACAAAACCAAATATAATTTCTCACCCACTCCATAATGGAACCATCCCTAGCAATCTTGGTTGGTAAAATCTTAGACTGAGCCTCCTTCGCTCTTTTGATGAAATCATCATCATGTCTTCCCAAAACCTGTTCACAAGAATTATTTAGCATCCACAATAAAATTAGGATAATCATTAACAATAATTGGTCTGAGTACTAAGATCATTGAGATCAGTTTCACCTCAGCAGCAGAAACAACTTCAGAGAAAACTTCTCTTATGATTGACATGTCCATGGTAGATGAGTAGCTAACACTAGCCTGCTTTCCATCTGGGGCAATGAACATGTGCTCAGGGGAAGTTGATGGGTTGGTTTCCAAGAATCCACCACGGCCGTCAATTAACCAATCCAACAGAAATAATGTACATCCTTCCATCAAAGGGTATGCTTTATTTTTAAGGAAATCCTAACGTAAAAGAAACATCAGCCATCAGTTGTGTATAATCTTAGCTTTATGTATGCAATAGCAACAGTGCAACACAGAGCAAATCTGATTTACAATATAGCAGTATTAACTAAATAAATAAAGAAATCACATCCCTCACCATCTCAGAAGTCTACAGGATCCTTAATTAAAACAGCAGCAGATAAGTAGTGTTATATGTTACTGCTTTTATAGAGGGCTTTATCGTCTGTATGCATTCTGTTACTGTGTTTCTTATTATTGCTGAACCATAGGATAGTATTGACAGTCTAGGACCCTCATTTCTTATGGCACGTGTCTAGGGTAGAATATATATATCGTATCTTGTCCCCCAGCCGAATATGAAATGAATTAGTCTTTTTCTCCTCTATCTTTTTCTTCCCTAACATTTAGGAATCAAAGCCGTTTCTCTGGCCATGGGTCCGCCAGAGATGCGGTCCTCTACTAAGTGCGTGGGTGATCTTAAACATTGCCTGGAAATGCAATCAACATTGGTTCAAAGCACTCAACAAACTTTGGACAAGCATTCCCAGGAGATTTCTGAGATGAAGCGAACCAATAATCAGTTATCGAACCAAATGATTGATATATCAGCTACGCTTTCCATGATTACTACTCCACCACCTCGTCCTATTACACTCGAAACCAGCGAACCATCCCATACTCCTTCTGTGAACACACCAACACCTCCACCAACTCTTGCTATTCCTCCACCCCCATTATTCTCTTAGCTGGCCACTCCTTCTGCCGCTGTTTCCCCTCCTTGTATTTCCACACCACTAACTTTGTTTGGCTTTTTTTAGGGCATTCTTCCGACACCCACCCAACCTTGTTCGGTTCCAACTAAGCATAGCATAGTAGAGTTTCCTAAGTTTGACAGTACAGACCTTCGAGGATGGTCTTACCGTTGTCGACAATTCTTTGCTATGGATGAAACACCTATTGAACACCGAATCCAGCTTTTGAGCATTCATCTAGAAAAACGAGCATTAAGATGGCATTTAGCTTTTGTGAAACAATGCCAACTTTCTGAACCCTCTTGGGATGGCTATTTTAAAGAAATGGAGGCTAAATTTAGTGATGTGAACAATGACATTCCCATGATAGCTCTTAAAAAGCTTCAAATGAAGGATTCTATAAAAGAATATGAAGAAAAATTTGACGAATTACCGACAGAAGTGGATTTATCTGAAGAGGCAGTGATGAATTGCTTTATTGGGGGTCTTCGGGACGACGTATAGCAAGGAGTCCTTAACCTTCAACCAAAATCCCTGGCCTCTGCAATAAAGTTAGCTAGACGCCAGCTTGCCACAATTCGAGCGATTCACGAAAATGCTCCTTAGGTTTCTTGAAGGTTTTTTGTCTTCTTAGTCTTCACCATCTCAATCAGCTACAGGACTTTGGGTTTCCTCTT